GGCTTAGGGTTTAGGGTTCAGTGTTTGGGGTTCAGGGTGGAACGAAACGTGACACCCAATCGTCAACCCTCAAACCTAACCCCGGAAACCTACACGCTGCAGCCCTCATGGGTACAAGCGCCTTCAACATCCCGAATGGAGGGCCTTCATGATTAGAACCGAGTTTGGTGGCTCTCTTAAAAAATACAGTAAGGAGCCTGCATGGCTTTGAGGGATAGCACGAGTTTGCTTTAATCTATCTCAGGCTTCTGTATATTCAGGGCACTGAGCTTTTCAAAGTTCCCTTAAGTCCTTCCAGTCCCCAACGCCCAAGAAACCTGGTGATCGATGAAGTGCTTTCGCTGAAACCCTAACCCCTGAACCTTAAACCCTCAATCCTAAACCCTAAAACAGTTTGACTAGGCTCCTCTACGGAGTCCAAAAACTGCTCTACACAGCTTACTGTAAGGCCTCTACAAGGCCCGTTTAGGGATTAGGGTTTGCGGTTTAGGATTTAGGGTTTAGGGAATTATCAAGTTCAACCCAAACCGCAAGCACGGCGTCCTGTTGGACTCCGGCTCCCACCAGCCACTTCATGGCCTCCAAGGGCGGGTCTGCAAACGATTCAGGGTTTAGGATTTGGGTAGCTCTTTAAATTGGGGTCCATTTTCGGGTCGCTTGTGATAAGGGTGCCACACCATGTTGGGACCCAAAAAATGTCTCTAATTTGGAGAACTACCCATGTAGGCTCTAGGAAATATTAGGATTGCAGGATTCAGCCGTAGAAGCAGCTTCGCCAGTAGCAGTAGCAAAGGAATCGCATCTACTTCAGCAATGATGGCACTCCTACAGCCTCAACACCAATGTGCGGAAACAACAAGTCGCGACACGTCACATACTCAGCACGCTAAACCCTAAACCCAAGGCAACCAAGAGGATAACAGCTTACACATGCTGCACAGCACATCTGCCAACCCTAAACCCGCCAGCTACAACCAAGCCCTGACACATTCAAACTAAACTGTAAACAACAAGACCCCAAAATGTGAACCCTGCAAAGTTGGAACATGGGTTTAGGACGATTCGTGCTAGGATCCCCTATACTTCACCTTTAGGACATGAGGCTGGCAAAGTTCCAACTTTCTGGCTTCTACTGTAAACCTTGGCTAACGGGATATCATCAACACCACCGTCGCAATGAAGAGGTGTAGCAATCGAACTTGGAGCTGTCGTCCGGGTCAAAGCGAACAGCTTCGGAATGTCAGACAAAATCGCTCGTAGCCGACACCGGCCAGTCAAGATGTCAAGATTGGAACTGGTACTAGTACTTACAGGTTTGAGGTTCAGGGTTTGAGGTGTAGGGGTTTAGGGTTTTGGGTCCAGGCTACGCCCAACCAGAGCTTCAGACATCGAAGACCTACGCAAAGGATTCGTTGATCACACCCTACACTTGCATTCCGAAACCTTAAGCCATCCTATACCCGATTGTAATTGTAATGGCGCATTCCGAGACCCTGATCTTCGCTGAGGCTTCTTCTTCGAGCCCTGGCCCTAAATGGCTGAGCCCTTTAGATCCCTAAGTACCAAACCCAACCAACACCCCTACACCCCATTAAACAAACAACTTGAAACTCCTAATACAGGGCCTTGTCAATTAGAATAGGGTTTTGGCTACATTCTGCCAAAGTTATCCCCCTGAACATCGTATTGGTAATTGTTTGGGCCGATGTCTTACACACCCCGAGAGCCTCTCAAACCCTATAAAGCCTCTAGCAACTTCCATAGACCCGCTCATTCCAGAAGCCTGACTCATGCAAGCTTGTTCCAGACATCTACACTGCTGCACTGTTTAGGGTTCAGGGTTTTAGGGTTTAGGGTTCGACCAACCCGATAAGTTCATTTCAACCCAAATATAACCTTCTGTTCCCATTTTTTTCAACCTAAAGCGCCAGATGCACCCGCTAAACGCAACAACCCGATGAAAAGCCCGGGTCCTACACCCCCCAAAATTAGGATCATCTAGGATGCATATAAAGAAACCCTAGAAAAGAAACCGGATCGATCAAGGAAGAAGAACAACTCCTCCAGGTTCTTTGACCGGATCGCAACCCGAAAGGGCGAGACGGCGGTCCTCAAAATATCTCGAAAATGCTGGGGGCATGATTGGAATGTTTTTTTTTTTTTTTTTGGGGGGGGGGGTGTATGTTTACATACACTCGGTAGAAAGGGGCTATACCCCAACGCTAAGGTCTAAAGAGCGAATGAAGGACATGTCACAGTACTGTACCCTAAACCCTAAACCCCTAAATCCTAAAGAGCGAGTGAAGGACATGTCACAGCATCTTCAGATTCGTGTATTTCTAACTTTTGGCAGCTTGGAGGGTGGAGGTCCAAGACTCCTCGGTTTTAGGGTTCGGGGAGTTTAGGGTTTGGGGTTTTGGGTTTAGGAGCTTATGGTTTAAGATTAGTAGATACTTGGGGTTTCAGGTTCAAGGGCTGGGGCTTGATCTGACATGAAGCTTAGCGGCTATTCACTATTCTGCACTCTTCACTAGCGTGCAACAGTTTGGGCACGAAGGTCGTGTAGCAGTCTTCTTGACGTGATAAACCATGGAAAGCTCGACCGGGCCATTCACGAAGCTTAGTGGCTTAGTGGCATGGTTCTCTCGAGCAGTTCAACTTTGGGAAAGTGAGCCATCAGTACAGTAGATTTCGAGTGCTTGCTGGGAACTCTAACTCTGCAGCTGGGATTCGGAACACAAGATGGCATTGCAGGCTCTTTCAAGTATCGAAACTTTCAAGGCTCCAGTCGAGAAGGGCCCAGCTAGGGTTCATGGTTTAGGGTTTAGGGCTTGGAGTTTAGTACCCTAGGGGCTGTTCAAACATAGAACCCGATTCCCTAAAGGTGAATTTGGGTTCTGCAAGAGCCTCAAAGGTTTTTTAAAGAGCTGAGGGGTTAATAGTCGAATCATACTGCATACAGCCCTCCCCACGTCAGAAGCCGCACCTCAGTTCGACAGCATCAGGTTGTTCACGCGGTTTGTAACTTTCATTCAATCCCCACCCCCAATCTCCAACAACCTCCTGCACCATTAGGCATTCGGGTGTTGCATGGATCGAATACTAACTCCGTGCTATAGCCCCTAACTTAACCCTAAACGCAAAACCGAAACCCCAAACCCAAAACCGGAACCCTAAACTTAAACCCCAAACCGAAACCTTGAACCCCAAACCCAAAACCTAAACCCCAAACCCAAAACCTAAACCCTAAACCCGAAGCCTCAGAACCCGAAACCTTGAGTCCCTGAACTCCCAGGGAATCCTAAGACTCCCTACAGGGGTTTTAGGGTTTCGAGACGAAGGTTTCGCGTGATAGGCCGCAACAACAGATGCTAATGCTAAGCCCTAAACCTTAAACCCTTTAAACCCTAAAACCCCTAAACCCTAAACCCCTAAACCCTAAAGGGCGTATTGTCGAGAGTGTGAACCCTCAGAAACAATCTGACCCGCACAGCCAAGGCGCGCAGCATTGAGGTTCGGACTAACCTTTGCCTGGCCGCAGACCAGACGTTTAGGGCTCAGGGTTCGATTCAAGGGTTTAGGGTTTAGGGTTCGGTTCAAAGGTTTAGGGTTTAGGGCCGTTTAGGGCTTGGGTTGAAGGGTTCAGAGTTCAGGGCTCAGGCTTGAGGGTTTAAGGTACTTGTATATGGATTGCGTTTCGGGCGCTACCTGCGGGCCGCTAATCAGAAATAGTATCGTCTAGGCTTTAGGTTTTAATTTATGTTGAGTTCAGAAGCAGCTCGGATCTTGAATGCCACTCAGCGGCCACTATACAGTTTGAAGTGTAGGATTAAATAAACAAGGCTAAGAATTCGAATATTATTTCTCTACGGTTTCGGGTTCATGGATTTGAGAACTTCATAATTAAAATACATATGGGGGATCTCAATATCGATCCTGAAAGCAATCTTTTTGCAAAGACCCTCCCTGAAAACAAACGAACCCGTAACTTCAAGACACCTGTCCCCAAGGCTTATAGGGCCTAGGGGTACCAAAATTGCACGGTGTTTAAATCCAAATGCCATACGCTGAATGGTCTTTGTCTTTTTATTTGGGTACGTGGTAGGTCCTAAAGCCTGAACCCCTAAACCCTAAACCGCAAATTAAACTCTTATGCCGAACTTTTGCCATTCATCGCAACGTTTTTTCGCCGACGGTTAACTTCAAGGCAGAATACCGGCATAAGGCGCACTGAGGTGATAACTCATGTAGAAATCTGTTCCCGGACCTACGCCCCTGAAGGTGCCCAGGTAGGGTCTGTAGGGTTTAGGGCTTCGTGTTTAATTTAAATGCTTTAAAGCATTCGATGCCACTGCTGTCAACGCTGAGGAATTGGAATTGGATTAGCGCTCCTCCCCCCTCACAGCACAGGGCAGATCCGAACACGTCACAGGGTTGGAGAGGGGGTGCTAGCGCAATGCAGGCGAGAGGATGGGAGCGGGGAGAGAGGAGGGGAGGGAGGGGAGGGGAG